CATCCAGATCCACCCGTCCACCCTACGAAGGCCCTCATCTGGGCCAGGAAGTGATCTGAACGTGGTCCTATATCGCCAGACCACGCAGCAACCACCACGAAAGAGAAGTGAGGCCCAGTGCGCGGCCCCCGTGTGAGCCAGGCCTGAGATCTGAGATAATGTGGAACAGGCCCACAGCGGCCTTATTCAGGGGGAAACCCTGGGCGGCTCTCCCTGCCCTCTTCACATCAAATGGGTAGTTCAGACGATGTGGTGAAGATGCTCCCCTATGGGATCCTGCATATGGGGTTAATTCTCCCCCCCCCATTGTTTAACATCTATGTGAGGCCACTAGGAGGGATAGTCTGTCAGTTCAGGGTGATCCCTCACCCGGTCATGCGTCGCCACCCATGGACCATGTTCGGAGGAAGTCGCAACCAACGTGGAATAAAGCAGCCCGGGGGCTGACAGGTGAGAGCAGATATGGCCGAGTTACACCTATAGCGCAGGTGCTGCATCGGCCAGGTCCAATTCACAGTGTTGGGTTTGACTTTTAAAGCCCCAGATGGCTCGGCCTTGAAGTACCTGAAGAATCGCCTTCTCCAGGTAAACCTGATCCATGCGGATGCTGGTCCCACGCAGGAGCGTTGTGCTTCCTGTGCCGTGGGAAGTGAGACTGGTGGAGGCGCAAGGGCGATGCTTCTCGTTCTGGCTCCCTCCTTATGGAGTAGGCTTCTCCCAGAGGTTGGGCTGGTGGCAACCTGGGGGTCATCCTGAAAGGCTGTCAGGACAGAATTATTCTTCAGGACTTTGAAAGCTGAAGCTGCCTGAGATTGATGGTGGTACTGATCCTTGTAGAAGATCAGGTTTTCCTGACTTTCTAACAACCAGGAGTCCTTGGATTCTGGAAGGACTGACCGACAGACGGAGCAGGGTCTTCCCATAATGTGTTCAAAATGCAATGATTTGAGCCCGGTCACTGGTGCCTTGAGGGATAACTCCGAATCGTTATGATATTCTCAGGAGTTAAAAAGCACCACCGCTCTTCCTTTCCTGCCTCTTCAACATCCATCTGGAAGTATAACAATGGTGAAATCAAATAAATACAAAAATAAAGGCATTTTACTGGTCCTGTAAGAGAGACAGAGAACTGGCCCCCGGTGATTGTGTGCAGCGCAACCTGCCCAACTCAGACAGAGCCACGGCAGCTGCGCGGCCCCCTCCCACACCCACCCTTTAAGGGGCCCATTGGAAGGGCCTGCCCCCCGCCTGCCCCGAGCGAAGGACACGCTTGGCTGCAAAGTGCGGGCAGCCCCTTGTGAGTCCTCCAGCTCCCCCGGCAAGCCGACAACACCTCTAGCCCTGAGGCTGGGGGTAGCGGCTCTCTGCTGCCAGGAGGAGGATCATGGGGCCGACCCGCTGGTCGCAGGTGCATGCCCAGGGGCGTCCCAGGGGCCAGGGTGGTGGGTGCGAGGTGCGGTTGAAGCTCTGCCTGCTTTTTATGTGGGCAGCATGTGCGGCGCACATAAAAACTGGTCAGAGCTGCAACTGCACCCTCTCAGCCACCATCCCCTGCAGATGCCAATGCACCCCACAGAGAAGGGACCAGCCCCTTGGTGGCAGAAGGGGCCCCAAGACGGCTGGCTCGGCCTGCGTGGCCCTGCCTGCTAACAGCCTCTCGCCCCAGCCCACATCTCCCTATCCCGCCAGCTCTCCTTCTCAGCAGCCGCCTGGAGAGGCACCCAGAGACCCTCGGCCAGGTCTCCAAGTCCGGCTGTCACCTGCAGCAGGTTGCCATGGAGACAAAGGCACCCTTGCCGGCCATCCTTCATGGAAGCGGCAGGGCAGCAGAGGCTCAGCTGGGGGGGCAGTTGGCCCTCAGCCTCCCCTCCCTGCCACGCAGAGCCTTCAGGCGGCAAAGCCACCAGCTCGCTCCCCTCCCCCCCAGCACGTTCTGGCTGCAGGGCAGCTGGGAAGAGGGCCCCCCTTTCCTCAGGACAAGGGTAGCAAACTAGAGCCCGTTGTGCCAGCCCTCGGAGCCGCCCTTCGCTGCCAGTGCCACAGGTCCATGCCCCCACGAGAAGAGGCGAAGGCTGCCTGGGTGTGACAGACCGCAGGCCTCCCCCTTGCACTTCTTTCTGGGGTCCAATCGAGCTCCCAGGAGGGAGGGGGCACCCCATGGGGGAATCGCCCTGCTGGTTTCCATACTGAGGTCAGGCCTTTTGGCTGGGAGGAGGCGAGGGTTGCCTTCGCTGCCAGGGGCTGCCCAAGGGGGTGTCTGCTCCATACATGGGGGGGGCTGCTTCCCTCTTTCACCAAAGACTGACTGAACGGCTGTGCCATTAAGCCCACCTGCCCAGTCCGACTCCACGGCCGAGGAATGCAGCTGGCAGATGGGCAGGGCTTTGATCTCTGCAGCTGCAGCTCCTTTCTGGAGTTTTAGGGTGACTTTTTATGGTATCTGTGTGTGTTCACATTCTTGTGCTATGCAAACACAGGCTGTTTGGTTGGACGGTGGCTCAGTGTATTGTGCAGTGCCTGCTAATTGGATGGGCAGACTGGCAAAGGTGGTATGCAAACCCCAGTGTCTGCTCCATTTCACAGGAGTGCTGTGACCATAAAACGGGAGAAGTCAGGGAGCCCCGTTTGGCACTTTGAGCTCCAGAGGGAGAGCAGGACACCTGTCTGCCCTCTGATCCATCGCCTGGCAGGCACTGAGCTGCCCCTCCCGGGTCCACTGGGCCACCCGGCAGCCTGAGGATCATACAGAGATCCTGGCCTAATTGAGAGAGCATCACTGAAATTCAGCAGACCCGCTGCTGCTTTCCCTTTTGAAGGGAGGAAAAGGGCGGCCTCTCGCCCGCCTCTGAGGCTTTCCTGGGCAGCTTGGGGGTCTCTTCTGCCATCATCAACAGAAGCCACAATAACAGTGGCTGCAATACGCTGCACCCCGTTCATTTTGCAACCAGGCCTTGAGCCAAGCTGACGCGTGCTGTGGTTTAGCTGTCCTGTTGGAGGGCTCTTGTCCAGAATAAGAATTGCCACTCACTTTCTCTTCTATAAACTAGACTTTATTACAGTATAAAAATATCAGGGAAAAATAATAAATTAAGTTGCAGCTTTACAGTTTCATAAAAAAATACAACTAGTCCTACATAAATATTATAAAGAGCCACTTTACAATAATCCTACCATAACAGTAACCAAAAGAGGCACCCTGCATTTTCCTGAGATTGCAGAATAGCACCCGAGTCTTGCTGCATGAACCCACTACTCCCCTCCGCCTCCCTTTTAACTCTGACTTTAAAGCCCTGCAACAGCGAAGGGAGACCCTGTTCACAGCAGGTTCAGCCCAACAAAGTTGGTTAGCGTGAAAGATGCTGGCAGACTCCATGCCCGTTTTCTTGGCCACAGAAGAGTGGACAGCTGGGAGCAGAGCTCTACTCAAGCCTTCACATGGACCCCACCACCATAGCTTGCTTCCTGACAACAAAGACTCCAGGTTCTCCCAAAGCGGGTATATGCTCCTAGACCTTCCTCCAAAGCATCACCCAGCTGCACACCCAGCAGCCATTCCAGCTGTGCCCAGAGAGCCAGGGGCATCCCAAAGCCAAAACTTGGCACAGATCCCCCCCAACACCCCTTGGGCTGCACCCGACTGGAGCTTTGAGCCAAGGAAGGAAGCAGAAAAGCAACCGCCGACCCCCATCTATGGGGCAGGTGCAAGAAGCACAGAAGCCTGAAGGCCCCAAACTGTCATGGGGTTCTTCCTTTGTAACAGAGAGGCACGATCTGCCCCCACCCCAAAGGCCAAGGTCTGCCCCTCGGGCCCCGGTGCATCAAGTGGCAGGGCCGGGAACCTGCTGAGCCCAGGACAGAAAATAGAAACTGAGGCGGCATCCAGAAGAGCCTGGGAAGAAGCCCTCCGGCTCTGGGGGTGGGGCAGAGGTAGGGGTGGCACAGGACAGCAAGCCTGGAGTCACTTTTGGTATTAAGCCCCCAACCCTTCCGTCGGGGGGCACTAAGGCATGTGCATGTGGCCAGATGGCTGGATGAGAATTCCTCCCCCCACAAGGTCCAGGACAGTCCAAACAGTCAAAAGGGGTTTTGAAGGGGCAGCCTCCCAAAGCAAGCCACCGATGGAGCACAGCTGCATACAATTATTGGAGGGCAGGGAGGGGGCCCGAGGAGGCCCAACAAGGAACCCAGTAGGTCCATCAGAGCTGCCAACTGCAGCTGTTCCAGCTGGGCCCAGAGAGCCAATGGCATTACCAAAACAGCACAGCACCCCCTCCAAGGCCCCTTGCCACCCCCCCTCCCCAGTTTCTCATCAGGGCCGAGACACGCATTGCCATCCTCTGCGCGCTGAGCCTCATCCTCTGGTCTCCGGGAGGACAGAGAACCCGCTCGCGTGCAGAAGAGCCTTGGCAGAGCCAGCCAGCTGGCCCCTGAAGCTCTGGCAAGACCAGTTCGACAGCCCAGCAGCCTTACCTGGGAGACAGTCCTCCCTCTGTCCTGACCACCCAAGAGTCCCTGCTGAGCGCCAGACGCCCCCCGCACAGGGGATTCCAGACCAGAAGGGATGGGGACAAGACTGCCTCGCCTGCCACACAGACTGAGGTTTCCTCCCCAAAGGCATGAACCTCCCCCCCAAATGTGGAAGTCCTGGACTGCTCCAGCTGGGGGAGGTGCCCAGGCATCTTGGACCCCCTTCAGGGCATCCTCCACAATGCCAAGAGGCCGGGTGCACGCGCAGCCTCCAGGAATGAGAGTGGCGGCAGAGGCAGCAATACGGGATCAAACGTACATCTGGCAAATTCACAGAAGGGTGATTCTGACTGGACATTCATTCACAGAGCAGGACTGAGCCGCCCTCTCTGAAGGCCAGTTCCCTCCCAGAGGCTCATTTGCAGCTTCTGGGGCAGAGCAATGGCCAGGCTGGAACCCAGGCCGGGGGACTCAGCGTACCCAGGCAGGCTTTCGGAAAGCAGCTAGCAGATGCGGGACCAAATTCGGCTGCAGCTGGGCACCCAGAGGCACAGACTGTGCCCACCCCAGCAGAACCGGGCAGGGCCCTTCTGATCTCTGGTGTGAGAAAAGCAGCAGGAGAGAAGGAGCAAGAGGCTAAAGATCCACGTTCACGTTCTCCTCCCCACCGCTGTCCTGCCTGTCCAAGTGGCCGACGGGGGCCGCCTGTGTCTGTGTCGTCCCAAACTGCGAGGAGAGTTTTGCTGCCTTCTGCTCCAGGCTCTGCTTGCGCCATCTGATCCTCCTGTTCTGGAACCAGACTTTCACCTGAAACGGAGACAGCCCCTGACCTACAAGCATCCCTCACCCCCAGCGGGGCTGGCACAGGCTGCCGGAATGGCAGTCCAGCAACCTCTGGAGGCCCACAGGTTGCCCACCCCACTTGCTAGAAAGAAGCAGCAAAGTACGCTTCTAGACCTCATTGAGGGAAGGAAGCAAAAGATAGAAATAGGACATTTGCATCCAGGTCCAGACACATCACTCAGGACAGGGGGAGCTTCGTAGGTCTTTGTGGAACTTCAGGCACTTCTGTTTCATAATACTTTGAAACCCTATGCTGCTCCCTGGGGAGGAAAGAACCCAGCATCCACCAAAGAACAGTTATTCTGCCTGGTTCCCCTGAATTCCTCATCAGGCAAGTGAGAAACAGGGAGGAAATATGCATTGTTTTTGGTAGTGTGGCAGATGAATATTGAAGGTTCCACCTGCACTGAATTTATGCTGATGCAAAGTTTCCCTTTTACACTGGCAGGTGAACTCTGCAGGAAATAAAGTATGAACAGCCCTACAGGCCCATTGCTTCCAAATACATTTCCACAGTTAAAATCTAGACAACTAAACCAGAACAAGACTAGTTCTTCCATTCCACATGGGCTCTGCAGGTTCAGCAAATGTGCTTTGTTTGTTCTGCCATTTTTGCTATTTATTTCCAGCCTCGGAGAAAGGAAAAAATCACGCACCAGCCATCAGCTTTGACAAACAGCCTTCAGTCTAAAAACTGAAGAGGGAGCCCTAAATAGCTGGTTGAACAACAGAGTCGGAGTATCAGGTTCCCAGGCCAGAGCTGGCCTGCCTCGGTTACCTAGACCGGTGTTCAGCCCCAGAGGCTTGAGACCCCCTGCTACCCAAGGATCCAGCCAGTGTCCAGCCAGACTCTGCTTCCATCCCAAGAGAGCACACTGGGAATGCCCCCCCACAACACAGAGACACTATAATATAGCCCTGGGATCACCCCCCAAAAGGCCATGGGAACCCCTTCTAAGCAGGTATTTCAAACGCCCTGGGTCTGGGAGGAGGAGGAGGCTCCCTACCTGAGTCTCTGTGAGCTGCAGAGTAGCTGCCAGGTCCACACGCTCGGAGCCCACCATGTACTGCTGCTTCAGGAATTCCTTCTCCAGGCGCTCCAGCTGTTCTGGGGTGAAGACTGTCCGGACTCGCTTCATCTTGCAGGGACTTCCAGGTCTCCAGGGAAGGGGAGGCCCCAGGGAGCCAGCGGCTGCGCAGCGGGGGGAAAACTGCCGTCCTGGACCTGCAAGACCTGGAAACTAAACTGGAGGCAGGAGGGGAAACAGCTCCCGCCCCAGGCATGTTTCTCCAAACGCATTCGTTTTATCCTGGATGCTGGATCAGGATCCCGTCCCGCACCCTTCCCAACTCCCCGCTTTAGCACACGTGAACCGCAAGAGTCTGCGGGCTGGCCCGAGGGCCTCAGATTCGCGCGCCTCCCACCCACTCCCTCGGCTCCGATGCTTTTAACAGGCAGGAAGAGCGAGGCCCATTGGTAAGTCCGCGGAACCTCCAAGCTCACGCACAGTCTACCTCGCCCGCTCCGGGGCGGACCCCGCCCGGCCGGC